AAAAAAAAAAAAAAAAACTTTTTCAAAAAAAGGGAAGTAAATGCAGGGGATATTGCTCCCTGATCTTGTTTGTATTGTTTTTGAACGATTGATATTAGCCATCCCTACATTTAATTCCATTTTTGAAAAGTTTTTTCTTTACTAGGTATATTATTATCGGTACACCCAGCTTCATCGCAATGCCTTTCGTATCATATTTCGTAACAACAGTCTTTACTATGTGAATTAGGACGTTGCTCCTGATTGATTTAAGATATAGTTTACGAGCCCGATGCTACCCATAAACACTCTGCTTTGCAAGTTTTCCCACTTCTGTGGAAAACATTGAACTTTATTCTTCGCAATATTGCTTCTTCTGGTTCTGGTCGGTCAAGAACCTCGCTGTACAAATGTGGTTGTTCGAAATGGGCTGTAACAAATCCTTCATACATAAGGGTCTGTGGTGACATTGCACTGTCAGTGTTGGATATACAAGACCGCTTAGAGTAAGAGTTATTATTTAGTTCATTTAGTGAACTAATATTTAATTGTTTTGTAATTTTTATAACAAGAGTGTTGATATTTGATTACTTTAAAAGCGATAGTTACGATAAATTTTGTTACGTAACTCGGCAAAAGTCGTATATTGTGTGTGTAGTTCAGTTGTTGCAAATTGACGTAGCATTACTCGCACCTTCCTTATTTTTCTCGTTGCCTTAAGTGAGTATTGTTACATCATAGCGTTTCGTAGCAAGCTCTAGGCCTCAGTTGAGCAATGTATACATATAATATATATGTAGTTAAATCAGAAAACGTTAAGTTAGTAAAAGTGAAGTTAGACTGCTAATTGTTAGTTTAGCCGTAACGGGCAATATTTAAAGTGAGTTACACAGTGGTCTTGTAATAATAGAGATAAAAGAGAATAATTTTTCTTGTCAAAGGGTGTTCTAAAGTAATTGAACACGTCTGTATGGACTTTGACAAAAAAGGAGACAATTATTTGAAGTTCTGGTTACAACTGTGGTAAGCCACGGGGTAACGTAAATGAATTTATCACTATTTTATTGTGATGAAAGAGGAGAGAAGAAATAATTCGTCTTGTCAATCGGGTTCTAATGTAATTGAACACGTCTGTATGGACTTTGACAAAAAAGAAGACAATTATTTGAAGTTCTGGTTACAACTGTGGTAAGCCACGGGGTAACGTAAATGAATTTATCACTATTTTATTGTGATGAAAGAGGAGAGAAGAAATAATTCGTCTTGTCAATAGGGTTCTAAAGTAACTGAACTTGCCTGTGTGGACTTTTGCAAGAAACGAGAATTACTTAGAATCTTAGATACAATGGTGATAACCAATAGTGTAACGAGTTTTTGTACATGCGTTTGACTTCTTTTGAATATATTATTTTCAAACAAGTGGATTGTGTGCTGTCCGTTTATTCTTGACAATTATCGCCAACAACAGTAAGTGTCTGTGGATTAATTCCAGCCACTTATACAAAAACCCTGATAGTCAGAAAGTCAAGAATTCAACTTGAACCAAATATAAAAGTGCTAGGTACCAATAGCACCAGGTCTCACATATGTGGCGACATACTACTGTATTAGCATATGCAAAACGTTCTTACAAAGTGCGATTAAAGCCACCTATTCTCCAATATGCAATACAGCCTTTTAAAACATTCCAAAGTTAATCAGGTTACTAGGAAACAATGAGAATTAGGGACATTTTTCAAGTATATGAGGGCTTCTATGTAAGTACAAGTTAGACGAGTTTAGCTAAACAGGTGAGATAAATACATTTTTAATTAATTGTATATTTTATGCATGACTATGGTTTAGATTGGTTTAGTCAAAGGTATGATACATAATCAATGAGTATGTTATAAAGGTTTACGTCAGAGTATTTTTGTACACCATAACTCGATGCTGTCTTGTGCGGCCATCCACCAAATCAAAACTTATTTTTTTGCTGGCTTCTTATATTATATGTTATTCCTACTTCTCTATATCTTTTCATGTAGTTCTGTTAACTTAAAAAGTTTTAACATATTTTTCAATAAAACCAACTAGCTAGTCTCCAAGTGATTACATAAGAGCATAGTTACTTTTGCACATTCAATATTACATTGTCTAAGTCTCACCTTTATAAAATACACAATTTCTCGTTTATAAAAGGTGTAGTACATTAATAGAAACCATCTATATGTCCGTTGATACCCAGCAAAGACTTTGCCCCTCTTTGTAGTTGTTAACACTTTTCTGACGTCCAAGTCCTGTCCGCTGCCACACCGTATGGAAGTTTACTTAGTGGTAACTCTCACTCTCCAGGATATCCTCAAAGAACAAGGAAATAAACCTAATTTCAAAACGCTTGTAGATAATAAATGCTTTAATTGTATCAGCATTACACCTTAGTACATATTTTAAAACTCTCATTAACATACACACTAATAAAACATTAACGCACCAAACAATTGTAAAACATATAAAAAAGACAGAAATATAACACATACAAAAGTACACTCAAATGTTTAGCTAATGGAGATCTAACTGGTTCTATGATGCTTCAAACTTGAACCCAAATGCACGTGTAAGTTATCACAATTTGTGTAAGATATTTATAAACAAATATATTTCCGGATTTTCAGCAATTGAAAGTCATCCAAGTTGTACATTCCGACACTCAAGCGAGAAAAAACAACTTCAGAACAAAGAGTTAATTATCAAAATTGTAAAAATAAAGTTCCATGCAATGTCTAGACGTGAATGTAGCGATATGTTCGCACCCTGACGAGAAGAAAGAGAAGGTATGTTTAGCTTCTTCTTGTATAAAGTGTTGGTTATCAAAGAAGGAGGTATCACAACGGAACAGAGAATCTTTAATATCCTCTAAATCTTCTAGAGCTTGTCTCTTGGGGAAGCTTCCCGCGGTTTAATCAGTAATTCACAAATACTTTAAAAAGTTAAATACGAAACAAAGTTTACTGTGGGTGATAGTCGAAAACTGGGGGATACGGAATATAATATCAAACTGTAAACTTTACGTATTTCTTGTTAGAACGAGACAAAAATAATAGGTTTTTGGGGACTTTTCATACTCTGCTGTAAGAAGTAGAAAAGCTAAGTAAAACAGACCGATAAAAAACAAGATATTCAAGCATAACGCCTTTATTCAAAGTTCCTTCATATGCATGTGAGCTGCGTAGACTAACTTCCACAAGAGATTTGAGTGTACGATTCACCGAATCTCCGCTTCAAAGGTTATTGATATTACTGTGCCGTTTTATTTAAAGTTAAATAACAACAAAGATTTTTGAGGTTTCGTCGGTGAACATAATGTGGTTATAACAGCATATTAGGAAAAACTGTGAATAGAAATTTCGAAACACGAACTTCAGTTTCTTGTGACACGTAAAAATGAAGCAAATTTAAACTGTTGTGTACTCTCGTATATTAAAGTCAGTTAAAATTCAAAAGCCGTAGAGAAGGCCGAGTTGCAAATGGATGTAGTTGCCGCTACACTATATATTATTTCACAAATTATCTGGAACTAGTGAAATCACTTTGGTGATAAATTGAAATATATATATATATTTGTTATTCGATCGAAATAAACAAGGGTAAACTTGAGACATGTTTTAATACATAAGGCTAAGTATGTTATGTTAAAACGGTTTTTGGATTCTCATTACGTCGTTACAGTCCGTGTCTTTTCGTCCTGTCATACTCTATCTGACGACCGTGCATGCTGACAATAACCCTACAGAGTAGTTTTCATTGCAAGAGGTTAGGTCCTAATGCTGTCATGTCCAAAACATATCTTCCCGTCTTACACATTTTCCATAAGCCATCTATTGTATGAGGATGATGGTTTCCCAGTGTCCAGTTCAACTGTTAAATCACTCAGAAATCCATAGACACTGCATCCAGTGACTCGACCGGTATGTCTCCATATAAAATAACATGAATCCCCGTTTCATTCTCCAACAACTAGAATTTTGCGGCCGTTAAATGGATTTACCAAACAGAATCAACTTTATACATGTGACGTGTGTCGCTTTTCTAGACGAAAATCTTTCTTGGTTATGATACGTACTGTTACCTGGATCATGTGAATGGCTTTTGCCACTGACCTTTGTGTTCTGGATTCTTACCTGTTACAAGACACCACACTGTGCTTACCACTGCTTTGGTACGAATTATCGCAGGTCTCTTTCTGAACGATCCTGGTGTCCAAAATGATCCATACTCCTTTGTTTTCCAATGTCAAGGGTTATCTCTGTACTGGAAACTCTAGATATCCGATCTTAATATATATTTTTATTATATGAGTGTAGTAATAACACAAGCCTGCGATGGTTTTATTCTCTTGAAATTTTTACATGTTCTACAGTAATTCCTGTACGTTGATTCCGAAAATTATATCTATTTTTCTCCAACACGTACAGATATTTCACAAAACGTAATATTGCAATATATAAAAGAAAGACCACAACACGTAGTTGTGAGACTAAAAGACGTAGATTTCACACAAAAAATCAGAATGAATGAGGATGCATATTTGTTTGACATCAATGCTCTTCCCTTTTCTTCAGTTTGTTTGTATTTTTGTTGACAAACATAATAATGAAAAATGTTCATTGTAGTAAACGAAATAATAATTTGATCTACGTAAGAAATTTTTTCTTCCCGATTTGTAAAAAAATCCTTACATGATAAAAAAATATGAATATTATTTTCGAAACCTGCGTAGCTGAATTGTGAAAAATTCGTTATTAAAACCGAAACAGCTTTTATGAAGTTTAAATTCGCAGGCCTGTGTAATTAGTGTCGGAAAGGCCTGTTACATACACTTCCCTAAAATGATCAATTTTCGGTGGCATCACACTACCTACCAAATGTCAAACAATGTCAAAATGTATTTCTGATACATTCCTTTCCACCGCGACTTTATAGCTCCTATGGTTTGTTACGTAACTTACTGATTTGAATATTCTGTAGAAGCTAAGTAAGGCTTGTTAACTAGAGAACTATCATTGTATCAAAAGATCACACCTTGTGTTTGTGTGAGGATTTTTTAACATAACTAATCGGGATAAACACATAATCAAATGAAATTATGAGGCAATCAGTCATCAATATCTGCTAAACATCACAATGTTGTTAAAATACTTAAATCACTAGGGTGTTTTATAAGCTATGTATATATATATATATATATCCCCATTTCTCAATCTAGCATTAGATTTGTATTCGTATATAGACGTTCCATATAAGTTTTATCACATACATATACATATATATATATCTAAGAATTAATATTCTCTTAAGGATGATCTTGAAACAAGGACGGATAGCAATGTATATTTTAGTTATTGTTGTTCTAGTTAAACAACCATGTTGTAGAGCAGCTGAACTACATCATCCTACCTTGTTTTCTTGCTTTAACTTATTATTGATAAGTATACTTTTTTAATATTTGTAATTATTTCTATACTAATTTCACTTTGAAAGAAAATTATATTTTAATTGTTCAGTTTAATTCTAGAAGCATTTCCATAAATTATGAACTTTACAAAATATTATAATTACCACGTCATGGTTTATATGTTAATTGGATTTGGTTTATTTGAAATGACCAACAAATCTAGAGATCTTAACTCTAGAGATCTTATTTGGTCCATTTTCTTATCTATATTAGGCCAAGTGCTGAGAAAGGGTTAAATGAATAAGTATATTAATAATTAAGGCAACTTATCTATAGCTAAGTCCACAATACACATATATAGTAAAAAAAAAACACAGTAAAATGTAAATAAATTACATTCGAATTACACTGCTTGAGTGAGATAAATAGACAAAGCAGTTTGAAAGTTTTATGTAAATCCAGAAAATGGAAAAGAACATTTCCGATTATTACGTCTGTAAACAGAGTTCTTGTATACCGTATATATATCACGGGCATACCTCTATCTATGTTTACCTTTGCCTTATTCTTAGAGTAGTAGTTTACCAAGAAAACCCAGTAACATAATATACAAAATAATACTTCTCTGTGTGTTTCCATCCACACAATAACATGTTGAATAAAAGATAAGTTCTTGCCCTGTGTCCACTTTTCCAGATTCTAAAACACTTAGTAGTAGGTAGTCCTGTAAAGAAACTAAGTCTAAAGCTTAAATATCCGATCAAAATGTTATATGGCGGCACTTACTATTTTTCCAAAGTATATTATACCATTACTATGTATGGCCATTATTACTCAAATGTGTGAACTCAAACCGATAGCATCACTCAGACTGCTAACATCACACGTGTATAACTTACAAATATTTAAAAAAAGACGAAATTTCCATATGAAAATTTAATATTATTCATATTAAACGTCCTTTGTCTGCACTATAGCTACAGCACCACAAACTTGTATGTATGTGTGTATGGGTTAACGTAGACTCTCCAAAAATAGACTTTCGATTTACATCCAGGGGGCTCTCCGTCTTCATTCTGCCAAGTAACGAAATATATCAGATATTGATCGAACTTCAACCTCTTGCACTACCTGCCTCAAAGATAATTGAATATCAAACTAAGGTTTAATCATTACATGAGAGGCGACTGTACATCTTAGGAATGTAGATAATGATCCCAAAGGTCACTCGATGTTAACCTAATAATATAGTCTTTACACTTCAAATGTCTGACATTTAAACAGGCGGATCTTGCATAGCCACCGATTACAGCTCTCTCAACAGCCTAGATACAAAATGGCTCCAAAAAGCTTGTAATGTTTCAAAAACTAATGAAGCTTTACGAAACTGACTAATACTCAATCTTTGTTTTCATTTTATCAGATGAAACTTTCGGTCAATTATTCTTACTTAAATGACTAAAGTTTTCAAGCATATCGTTGACTTGGAGTAATTTCCTTACCTCAGTTATGATAGAATAGTACCATTCCACGGCTGATAAATAAGAATGTACAAGAGATGTTCGGAGTAGAAGATTATTTACCATTCAGGAAACTGTTACCGATTCATTCCTATATTTAAAAAAATGCATATCTCGAGTAAAGCTACGTCACTGAAAACTTAAGTCGAATGATACAGTTTAGAGTTAGCGCGAGCTTGGTGTGGTTAAGTGGTCAACGAGCTCGAACTGTGAATCCAAGGATTCACGGTTCACTATACTCATTGTCGCAAACCTAACTCTGCACTTTGATTCAGTGGATGAACTATAAAAATGACCATCAGATCCCAGTATTCGGTCAGAGAAGTGTAGCTGAAGAGTTGTCGGTTAGCACTTGTTGTCTAACTGCCTTTCTCCTGATCTATCAGTTCAGAATTAGGAATGGCTGAGTGCAAGCAACCCTTTGTGTGTCTTTGCGCAAATATTCTGTAACAATAATTAAAAAACAAAACTAAGTACAACCTTAACCTTCATGATTTGTCTTCATATTATGGTTCATCTTGAATTATTTGTTCAGCCTAATGTTGAATAGCACAAAATTAACAAAGTGTATTCTTCACGGGAACAAGATATGATCAAAGTCTCTTTGGTAAAGAAGACATAAAGTAAAAAAGTCTTATGGAGTGTACTCTTATGTGAATGCAATATCGCGAGCCAGTACTCACCCTGACCATTGAATGACCATGAATCATACTGAAGAAACGGTACAAGGCATAATTTAATTTATTTTTTAACTTTGGTTACTTATGTTGATAAGATTGAAGGTGGTCTCATTGTGAAGTGACGCAACTATCGCTTCAAACGACAGTTTTACAGAAAACCTTAGTTTGCTTCACATATGACGGAAATCTCTAGAAGAAAACTAGATCGGAAAACATTCAGATTAGATGACTAGTAGGTACAAGAAAAGAGACTTGAACATTTTAATGAACACCATACTGCCATATATTACGTAAGTCACGAAATATAAATATAACTAGAAATAACAAAACATGCAACGGTGACATTTAATAAAAATATCAAACATAAAGCAAGTGAATATTAGTGAACATCAATAAGGTAAAACACCTCTCTCTCTCTCATCTGTACGCATGCGCAAACAGACTACTGCATTCATTGGTGGAAAACTTCTTCAGGTATGCAAATGTTCTCTTAATTTTCCTATAACTCATCATAAATCATTTGAAAATACCATACGAGAGAGAGGGGTACTTTATTAAGAAAATGTCAACCGTTTTTATTTTCCTTCATTTGTAATTGCTAACTTAGGCGTAGACAGATTGTGAATTTTAATGAAACATATAATCTATTTCACTTAAATATGTAAATATTTCAAACTTAATCTATCGTGACTTTTCCCTACAAGTATTGAACGCGTTTTACTGTACAGCGTTAATAATAACTTATGATCTTTCGCACACTATGCAAAATACGATGAATGTTTCAAAGTTTTAATTACATATTTATTTTTTGGTTCCAGAAAATATTCTGAAAAATGAAGTATTTCGGCTGAAAACAATGAACCAGCATACATCTGATTGAATATATGGCTTATAAGTAATTTTTTTACTTCCTAAAATTGTGCTTAACTCTTATTCCATTAAATATTTTAATCTTTAAACTATGAAAAGTGTAAAAATAAAGTATCCACGAGCCATAAACTAGCGAGTTGAAATTTAACGAACTAAGGCCTTGTACTACACAAATAAAAACAACTGGAAGTGTGGTTTAACAGCCGATACGTTTTATTTCTCAGAAGCAACGAATTTGTTTGTTTCTTATGAAGCAGAAAGTTATACAATGGCTTGTCTGTCATATGCTTACCATAGGTATCGAAGCCCTATTTTTAGCGTTATAAGCTCTCAGATTTACCACTGACCAACCGGAGAGGCTAGAAGTGGGGGCATGGCAAAGAGACTGTGCAAATGGATCGGGTGCAAAACTTAACCCTTTTATTTACTGGTCCATAAAAAATGTAGAAATGATAATCTTAGTATATAATCAGAAACAATACTAATTAGAGTTAACTTACTTGTAACATCTGTGTTCTTATATCAGTGGATCAGCAGTAATTCTACGAATTCACAATGCCAAAATCCAGTGTTCGATTCCTCGTGGTGGACAGACTGCAGATAACTTATTATGTAGTTCAGCGCTGAAACAAACAAACAAGTATAAGACCGTAAAAGGCGAGTTGGGATTAAAGGTTAACGTAGCCGGTCCTCTTCTGTCCCAGTGGTTTTGCGTTATCTGCTCAGTAAATTGTTCTTCAAACATGAATAAACCTAAGTCAGTCAGCTTAGTAGATGGTAAAAAAGAAAGTTGTTAGGGCTACATACGATCTACGCTATCACTTTATTTTCTCTGTCTTCAACTCAGCACGAGACCAAAAGGTTTTTTAAAAAAGTGGAGTAAGAAGTCCATACGAAAAATTATTAACATCCAAAATACCGTATACTTAAACCTAGTTTAGAGGAGCTCAATTACTACTCTTCTGGAACCGTTTTTCTACACTATAGCTCTGCAACCTTCTTTACTTGTTACTCCGTGTTAGACATCTTTCGCCCCATTATGGCCAGTGTTCATTATATATATATGTCTAATAATACACACGATAGAGAGATCCAGTGCTCAAACCCGTACCTTATATCTTTCACACGAGTTCACGAGACAGTCGAATCTTGTACTAGATGAGATTTTTTTAATCCTTACACGCTAACAGGGTCTTTAGGGCTTTCAACTTGCTGTTCAGATGTTGAAGTAGAACCTGCAATTTCAATCAAGAAAATGTCATTGATGGATGAGATGTTGGTCACTAAACTAAAACCGTATATATAACTCACTGATTTCAAAATGGTCGCGCGATCTCAAACGTAGGGCAATTCAAAGTCTTCAACGTTTTCTTCAGAAAAAAAAAAGGTGTTTCAAATGTTATCACAACCAACTCCATTTCTCATGCATTTTAGTTGAAAGCGACAGTATATGTCCTGTTAAGAAACAAGCGACATCACTACTGAACTTCCTGTTTTTTTACGAATTTCTCTTGTTTCATAGTTTTTTGATACGTGAATTTCTTAATATCATAATTATACCTAAAGTAAAACTTAATATTTCGTCATGTACAATTTCAGTTTGGAATCTTGAAAATTATTGGTATAATACATGATTTAGCTTCCACACCTAAAAAAAAGGCTCTTCGAATACAGATTTCGCATATCTTATAGTGAATATGAAAAGAAGTGCTAAAAGAACCAAATTATATAGACGTTAGAGATCAAAGTAACAATATTATACAACCAATCTGCCAAATACTGATATTATATCATAATACACCTAGGGCTTTTTTTAATAGCTGAAAAGCACAATGATAGATTGATATAGATATTACAATTAACTGTCACACACTACACCATAATTTCCTGTGGTAACGTATTCTTGTATATTACAAAAATTTTATTTTAATTCCATCTGATAATCCCATTATTGTATTTATTTGGCTAGGGATCGAACCTCGTATCCCTCGCATGCCAGGCGAGTACTCTACTAACTGAACGAAAAGATGAACCCATAATTATTACTACTGAGGCACTTATTAATATTTTAGTCTTAGATAGAAACACACACACACACACATATATATATATAGTTAAATCTACATACAATCACAGCCATATGAAACAGACAATCTTTGTGGTCTTCACAATCATTGCGTGACTACGATGAGAACCAAAGCACGTGTTGTTGGCAGGAGTTATATAAAAACCTCGCTCTCTGGATTCTCTCTTTTTTTTTATCTGTATGCTGGTAATAAACACGCAAGTTGTAAGATCGATAAGAACTCCATCAGTTTCCTCAAGAACATCGCCTTAGTTCTTACATCAAGAGTTGTACTTAACGAATTTCTAATCCTGGAAATAAAAACGTCAACACAATTCAAAAAAGGTACTCAAATATATGGTCGGATAACACAATTTTCCTTTCTAATATTAGTATAGCAATTTTCCTCGAGTAGGAGAAGAAAATAGGTGGTATCTTTTTTATGTTTCGATCTGTTCGTCCATCCATTCATTTCAATAGGGCAAAAAATAGGTAATATATTTTTATGTTTCGATCTATTCGTCCCTCCATTCATTTCAATAGGGCAAAAAATAGGTGGTATATTTTATGTTTCGATCTGTTCGTCCATCCATTCATTTCAACAGGACAAAGAAATAGACGTTATTTATTTGTAGATCGATACTTACATCTGTCAATCAATCTACTTATGTTATGCTATTTTTTGTTATCTAACTCTTGATAAGTTATATTACTTGAAATTAACTCAGGAGAATTGTTTTTAAACATAAAACGCACTAGAATTTTGGGATTTTATAAATCAGTTCAAAAATTAGAAAACCTCAGCCTGAAGCGTTCAGAACAGCATTTATTATATGTCTTAAACTTAAAGTGTTCAATTCGGTCTTTGTGATAGAACGAAGAGTTCAAGTAGTCATTCTAAATTCGCAAGCTTTACGATGTCTTGATTTCCTCTGCACTACATATTTCCATTGTTTGCTGAACAATCTAAACCTTGTTTACTAACTCTTGTAGCCCACCACTCAACGTTTGTACCATTGTTGCAACTGCTTGTAAACTTTCAATCTTTATTATCAACAGATAAATTGAAGTTGGCAAGGTTTTTACGCTGTATATTCCTCAAATAATAATTAAATTATCAAGAAACCCAATATGATCCAACCCTTAATATGCTAAACTAAAACTTTCTCAGATTTACGTACGATCATTTCCCAATAAAATGCTTCAGTGGCATTTTCCAAAGAGGTCTGGTGTGGCCCAATGATTAGCATGCCAGAATTTGAATGTGAAGGTCCATGGCTCACAACCAGTTGCTGCAAAACGTGTTACGCACTTTGGGATGGTAGATGCGTAATAAAAGTGACGATAAAATATCACTATTTGATTAGTGTAGCCCAAAGGTTGATGGTGGGTATTGTTGACTGGCTGCCTTCTTTCTATAGTGAAGGGTATAAGCCTCTAAAATCTCACGAATCTTGCACTTTGTGACGAAAGAACGAAAGTTCGCATTCGCACAGACATAGCTTTGGGTATATAGAAGTGGGGGTCACTTTGCAGCATTCTTAAAATCCACTCATTTTATTATTTTTTCAAATGAGATGGAAAACAATTTTTCTAAACAACCAGGTATAATACATATCTGTCATCATATGCATTATATTTTCATTTTACATGATTTTATCCCTACGAGGAGGAAGCTTCATAGCCTATATTTACAATTTTCACTTTCCTGTTACGAAAACGAATTTTTAGTGGTGAAAAAATGTATTATAGTTTTACAAAATGGAGAGTTTAGTGTACTTCTTTCCGGTCAAATAAGTCACGTTGCATTGTAAAGTTTAGTATGGTATAATATAGTACATATTAGGGATACACAAATTTCTTCGGGATCTACTAGACTTGATACATAAATGGAAACTTAAGTGTTGGAACTGTGACACGCTACTGGGAAAATATTTGTAAACTATATATATATTATTTATCTGATATTTGTCAATCAGATCAAAAGTAGATACCTTACAAGGCAAAACGTCACATATTATTCATACTTATAAGATGTTGTATACATTCAAGTGATAGCATACAGGGTAAGCAACTAATGTTTAATCACAGGGTCTGTAATAATTTCCCAAACATCTATATCAAAGTTAAACAATCAGTGAGACATATAGCTTGCTTGCCAATGACTATTCTCTATAATAAAACATTTAAAACGAAACAGGACGTATGTGTAGAACTATGATCTAAAAATGTATCTGTGTGTCAGTCCAACCAAGACAATCTTCACTGCAACTGCACAGTGCTGCACAAGTGAGATGTGCAAGCTTTCCCTGGTTTGCAGCCACACCTGATCGGCTCTTTGCACATGTTCACAGCTTGAAAAAATTTGCTGTATTGGTTTCCATACTTCTACTTCCCATTTCCAGCCCCATTTGGCTGAACTGGACAACAGTGGACTTGGATCAAAGGTTTTTCCCAGATATATCCTATTTGGTAAAAAAAAAAAGTTCTTTTCTTATGAAGTATTTATCAATGTATCTGGATTTCCTGGAGAAGTGTTATTCCTTAACTTTGTTGACCTCTTGAAGGTCACTACTCATGTCATATAGGTGGACGACAAATCTCTCTAGTGATCTCAGTACGTTTTTAGATAGTGTGTCTGGTCACTCTGCCATCTCCAGGAAAGCGTTTGTCACTTCAAGATAGATTTTTCATTCATCCCAGGCAAGTTTGTTTGTCTACCAAAGAAGGATATTGTAACTCGCTATGTGAAGGCGGGAAGGGCAACGTACTTTGTTGGACCAAGAGCTTGCACCACTTGAAAGCAGATAATAATATTGTATGCTTTCCAGTACTAAATTCTATCTACAACTAGCATAATGTGAAAGAGGCATTTACAATCTTCTACCATGATGCAATTAAATAATAAAACAACACCTGCATCTAAACTGCGGAGGAGGAAATTATTGTATCCCCAAGAGGCAGAATCTAGAACATGGCCCATCATTCTTGTGTCTTCTTCAACATGGGTGCAAGGTTGAAAATTATGCAATTCACCCTCGTCTCTGATTGTAGTGCAAGATAAAACATTACTACAAAAGTTAGATCACCAAATGTCAACAACTGATAAAATGTTTGCCACCCAGAATTTGTCAATCACACCATTTTACCACCCCATCAGTTTTTCTGCCAAAAACATAGATAAATTTAATTTTAACATAGAAGTGTCCCCATAGTTTGGAAAAAAGCCCTGAATAATTAAGAGGAATATTTAATCAAGGCTGCAATAATAGTTCAAGAGTCCTTCAGACTAATTATGAATATTTTATGGTTAGTACTTGTCAATACCAGATAAAAATTTGGAAGTGCATATATACAATTTGCCCCAAACTGCACTTGATTGCCCCTACGTATTACTCAGGGTGGCCCCATTCTGGAAATGTTCAGTGCCCCAAAAGATACTTCTGTGCAGTTTCGTACTTTCTTTTCGATGTGAAAATTACTCTGGAAATAAAACGGACCAGTGTCTTAAGACACATTGTTCAGCCTAATTTTGTGTAATTTTTCAAAGAAACAACATCAAACCCATATTTTATCTATTCTTTATCATCGTTGGTTGAAACTGTTTGCAAAATTCTCATTACCAATATTCTTGGAACCTCTGTCTGTACCTGAACATTTGAATGATACTCGTTGTTAAACAGGCGGTTGTGCTTTTAATATTCAATTATGCACTAGAAACCTTAAAAAAAAACAGTTATATAAGTTAAGTTTAAAATACGTTGTTGAAACACTGGTTCTTTAGCTGAAAAGGGAGTTAAACCAGTATATATATATATGTTTTTGTTTGTTTTGGTTAAGAACTATTGTTGATTCCGTGTTTATATCTTTTCACTGAAACATAATACTCTGTTAATATTTATAATATTTTTAAGATATAATGTCGTGCCAGTTTTTGTAGCAGTATTAATTGGAAGAACATTGTTCAACCTATGTTGGCATGATTCATGTTTAGGAAAGTTTGTACAAAAAAGTAGAAAAACCTGATAAAGCATACACCCATTTTTTCCCAAATGTAAAATGGACTAGACTGACTGATTAGACGGCAGATCTATATGATGTAAACAATTATAAGTTCTTTTCCACGTTACATGGCAAGAAATATGGGAAAGAAGTCTGGCTTAATTGATTTTAAAATAGGACAATTTGTGTGAGTTCAATTAATAGGTGTTTTAGTGACCCAATTTGCATAGCTTCTTCGCTTTGTAAGAGGAACACTAACAATGGTTATTACAGGATGGCAATTGTTATATGCGTTTCATCAGGTTGAATGAATGAGACCGCTATGCCTTATGAACTTGTTTCCTCAAAAAACGGAACCTAATTATTCAACATACCCTCAGGAACATACAAATCCCCTTTTATAACTAATGGAGCAGTTCTAACAACGGAAGGTGGAACCACACATTTTCACCGGACATTCCTCACGTTTGGTTAGAAACCTGTACAGTTTGGATTCTGTGATGAGACATACAGTTCAACCCAGGTTTTGAATATGATTGACACACATTATTTAAACTAATTTTGTTTTTTAACAATAAACTTTATTGAACCCTCGTGTGTGTATAATCGCTTTTAAGACATACATTTTCTTTGTTCCAGAGCTAGAAAGAAATTTCCCATATCTGTTGTAACTGCATCATTTTACCTTTATGGCTGAAACCTGAAATTAGGCCTATTGTAGAAGCTGATTTTAAAACATTTATAGATCGTTATGTCATCATGAGTAATCAAATACTTAAAAAAATAATTAATTTATCATAATTTCAAACTAAAGCTTCTACGGTACTCTATTTAATATTTATGCGACATCTTGAAATTATATTCAGGTTATTAAAATACAGGAAACATCACTGAATCAAGCTACCAGTTGAAACATATGTACTATGTTATCTATATAATAATTTGTTAAACCTCTGGTAACGTACACGAATTCCTATATAAATGCAATTTCTAGTGACGACCCTAACAATGTATAACTTTTAATGCACGCACAAACAAAGTGGCCATACACAACATAACTGTGTAATAAAACTGAACAAATATACGAATGTATAACAGTTTTGGATTACATATTTTTTTATGCTCTCTGGCGGGAATAAAGTTAATGTTTTTATCACAAATGGATGTAATATCATGAGAATAATAAAGAATAAATAAATAAGAAATAAGAAATCTAGTATTAGTTGTACGAAATTTTGACCAGCCTCAGTTTAAAGGCTTTGGAAACTGGGTTGTAGCAAAATAAAATGTACTTTGAGTTGAAGCCTAATTGGATGTCTTAGTTACTATGACATACGCAGTTTGATAGAAAGGTAACTACTGATATATAAATATATACGTACAAATTGAGCAATATAAGACATACACCAACTGCGGGAATCGGAATAAACATTGTGAGTTTCTGTCTCTAATTCTGAAATAAAAGTAATAAAACGATAAGAATTCCCTGTTTATTTTAGGGATTTTTATTTTAAGAATTTGTTCAAGACGGAATCTTTAACCCTTAATTTAACTTGCTACACGTTAGGATAATGAGCTAACGTCATATTATATTAAACATGTTAATATTGATGTCCCCTTGAAAATAGACAAAAAAATATGGTAGATATAATAAGGAGGAAATCTAGAATTTTACTGTTTAATTTCGATCTTTATTTTGAAATTCTGACAGGAAGAGTGAGACAGTTTTCCGGAGTAAGAGTTTATTTATTATTCCAAAACCATTCATATAAAACACATTTAATCCAATAAAGGAATAAGAATTAAAAATGAAGAACTCAGTTTTGCCTTCAATTAATGTTTTGTTTCTCTAATAAAAACTAAATTATTAACAACCTTTATTTCTGGAACACGTCTTTACGGAACAAGGTTACGGTTTCTTTTTATTTTCATTCACAGCACATCTCAGCCATGTTTCCGCATCTTTCGTATTTTATAGTTTTTATCAAATCCGCTCTGATTCTGACACTATCACTTGCATTTTAGAAAATATTCTACAACTTTTATGTAACGATTTTTGATAAACGCCAATGAAACCAAAGTAATAATACAAAATATTTCTCTTAAACGGTAATTCACCGAAAATTTCATATCCCTAACACTGACGAGAACCTTTATTTTAAAACAAAATTATACAATACATGTGTATATATATATGTGTGTGCGTGTGTGTATTATCAAAACTAATTTATGTATGTTACACATACATACATATATATATATATATAAATCCTACTGCTGAAACATAAATACTCAGATAACATGTATCACAGCACCATGACTTAAGAGATAAAAAAACACTCTTTAAGTAAATAATACGATAGAAATATCATTTAAGGAGAAAAATGGGCATACATAAAGGAATTCGCTACTTCAGTAAAGCTTCCTAAATCCATGCTAAACTATTTATCACAATAAACAACACATACATATAGATACACATAAACCGAGACTAATCTTCCTTGAGCAGGATATATATAGATATATATATCTACGTAGAGCAAGATTAATATATACACACAGAACGAAGTTAATATACGGGGAGAGAGAGCAAAGTTAATCTTCTTTGAGCAGGATCAATATAAATATATATATATATATATATATATATATATAATACACATATATGTGTGTGTGTGTATATATATATAAACTCACAAAGCGAAATTAATCTTCTTTGAGCAGGATGAATATAAATATATATATAATATATATGTGTGTGTGTGTATATATAAACTCACAAAGCGAGATTAATCTTCTTTGAGCAGGATGAATATAAATATACGTGACTGTTGTATTCCAAAATACTATTTAGTTTCAAATTAATGAGATAAGGAAATATTTCCGTATTATTAGGACTAACCGTAGTCTCAATGTAATCTCTCTAACTCCACAGGGATATTCTTAATGTAAGCCGTAATAATTAGCTCTTGTCCTTTCAATCTGGAGACTTTAAAGTGTTAATGCACTTAAAATTATTTAGCGAGGAACTGTCTGATCAAACAACAACGATACATAGTTATATCTTATCAGATTTAAATTTTAAGTTTTATCGTTTATCTGTTATAAGCGCATAAACATTAAACAGAATGCAAAAAATCAACTAAATACATGTTTGCACTTTAAATTATACCAAAAACATTTTCCTTTCGAATTGCCATAATTTTATTTTGTACACTATATATTACAGTGCTTTCCTAGCAGATAATTATACAGATTTCGTTCGAAGACTATTTTTTACGTGTGGTTGTTATATCTCACCTCTTACTCTTACTCTTTTACTTTCAGTTTCACTGTTCTGATTCCGCTCTCACTTTCGTGTGTCTTGCTGCATGTTTTCTTCAGATATTTTATCTCTTTATCTGCGACCTTCTCATGTTTTCTCTAAGATGGTAGGGTTGCTATAGAAGTCGTTGCTACCAGCAGTCGTTCTAACTGTACCGGATCATGTAAGTCCGGGAAATGCCCCTTTTCCTTGACAGATCGAACAAAGCGTTACCTATCTCAAGATTAACCGTAAGTCACGCGGACACTTTCCATCCAATTGCAGATTGTAGACTAGACTGTACTAGCGTCACTTGTAACCAGGTTAAGATTGGTTCATTTTTTATCTGATCTCAACTAAACGAAAACAATAAAATGCGCAAAGAAACGAATAAAAAAATGTTCGTTGTTTCTTTGTTACAAATAATACTCTCGTTCACGCGGAAGTACGGGAAAACAAGTACTACATATGCGAATGCTCTTATAAAAGCCTCTTTGCCTTCCACCCCTCTTGAATTTTTTCGTCATTTTTCCACCTCATAGTCTACCTTAAGCACATGCGCATAAAGTCGCCAACATAAATGTGAGTACTCAAAATTGAACTGTTTTACAAGTGGGATAATAAGACTACATATTTTAACAACGCCATAAATGCAACAATAGTTCACATATTATAGTGTAAGTTTCTGTTCATTAAACAGCAAGTTCAGGTGAAAAGAACATAGATGAGCAAAGTTTTTAAAGTAAATCCAGCTTTGTTTTTATGCCGTTGTCTAGCTAGTCGTTTAGAAAAGCTTTCCACTTGATCCCCTCTCCAGCTTTGTTTTTATGCCGTTGTCTAGCTAGTCGTTTAGAAAAGCTTTCCACTTGATCCCCTCTCCAGCTTTGTTTTTATGCCGTTGTCTAGCTAGTCGTTTAGAAAAGCTTTCCACTTGATCCCCTCTCCAGCTTTGTTTTTATACCGTTGTCTAGCTAGTCGTTTAGAAAAGCTTTCCACTTGATTCCCTCTTCATATCGATTTAACTCTCTCTCGCCGTTAACAACACTGCGTGTTAAGTAACAGAAAAGAGAAGCACTCCACTAATATTTTATGTTTGACGTCACTGACTTATGCTGTAACTCGGAGAAATGCTGGGCGTAGTCTGTTCAAATAACAGCCAGATGTGAAAATATTCTTAGAGCGTGTTAATATCCTCCTTCGCCATTCTTATAAGATATTTATAATAAATTTATACACGACATGAATTTATATACAAGTGACAGGCAGTTTTCTAGACTCTCGAAAAGCAACGAATTCCCAAGATTTAATATAGTTTCTACCGTCCTACACAGGGTGTAATATATATTGTTTGTTTGTTTGTTTTGAATTTCGCGCAAAGCTACACGAGGGCTATATGCGCTAGCCGTCCCTAATTTAGCAGTGTAAGACTAGAGGGAAGGCAGTTAGTCATCACCAACCACCGCCAACTCTTGGGCTACTCTTTCACCAACGAATAATGGGATTGACCGTCACATTATAATGCCCCCACGGCTGAAAGGGCAAGCATGTTTGGTGTGACGGGTCGAGATTGCGAGTAGAGCGCCCTAACCACCTGGCCATGCCGGACCTATAATATATATAAACTAAAGTAAAGCAGGATAATATCTTCATTGTTACAACGCGGGCAAAGAAACTTCAGTTTGCCACGAAATGCATCCTTGGTTCTGTGTATTTAATACATTTATGTAAATAAAATTCAATATTTACATGTGTAAAATATATATATATATATATTTAGTTTCGCAATGATTAAAATAAATTATTGAAACCACTGTAAATGTTGTTTTTTTTTCATTAATAAAGCGTTAATACCAGGATGAAGTTTATATTGTTACGTCTCTGTGTTCGTTGGTTAATTTTCCGTGGAAATTCTTGCCGAAAAACTTCAGCGATACAAGTCGTTTCTTAAATAAAACTAGTTTATTCTTTCTCAATACAACTTTGCAATACACTTAATTTCCACAGTCACTTTAACTTAAACACACGCTATAATTCACAACGATTCACGGTTTTTACTTAAGCTCACTACCGCGCTTGACTCAATTGTCCGTCTCTATCACTGCCTGTCTGCAATTCAATTAATTACCTCGCTTTATTTGCCTGCTTATATACTAAAATAGAGGGCGCGTAGAAAAGACTAGAGTTGCCAGGAAGAGACATGATACTTCTAGAAACTCCAGCGCTCATGCTTCCAGCGTCGCGTGACTTCCGCTGTCGTAACAATATTAATATTATTTTTACTTGCTATTAAGTAATACCAGTACGTCGATCAAGTAAGAGTTATATTTAATTACTCAAACTTCTTTTTTTTTACACTTTAGTAGAATCGATTGACTAATATTTGCTGATAGATAACAGTCATTATACAAGAATATGATTATATCAATGTAGCTGTAATCTTGCATAAGGAGTCTAAGGTAGAAAAATTTTAAACAGAAAACGATAATGTGATTTATTAATACTTGTTAAGTTTTTTTTTAAAAGTGGAAAGTATCTTAGTGCATAGATTCACTTTTTGAGTGGTTCTGCTAGTGGAAATATTGAAATGATGCGTTAGCATGAAATTGTCGGTGCTAAAATCATCATTATAAAAGGTGACATTGAACGTTGAGTTAATTAAATGTAATCAATCAGTAAAAATATATCTGTCTATTATCTAATCATCGAACAACCTATACGCACATCAATTTATATGTCTGCCTTTCTATCTATCTCTCAAATTTTATAATGTGTTTTTGTATAATTTCCATATGAATTGTAAGCTATACAACTTCAGCGTCTTCGCAAAAATGCCGCTTCTCTGAAAGGATCTTCTAAATACTTTAGTTAACTAGTTCAGTAAAGTAAATTGTAATGTATTGTTGATAACTAGTTTCACGCTGTAGTCTATATTGATTGGACATATTTTATCAAAGCTGCATACGTTTGGTAGATTAACAGGCGATAATGTGCAGTTCATCGTAAAAGCGAGTAGATATAATGATGAATCACTTTCTTCGAAATATGCTTTCTTAATTGAGAAAATAAAACATAAAAGCAATGTCTTAGTTTCAATTTCTGCGTAACTTCCTAAAGGCAATGAGATAATAAGTAGCCTTGATAAAGCAGGATGCACGTAACTCGGATTACATTTCATCCTACTAAACGATATTAGAAACATACGTCTCTTTCCCTCTATTGTCAGCGTTTTTTTCAAATGAACTCTTTAGTTCTATCAGTCTTCAAATGATATTGGAGATACAATATACCCCATCTTGTGGGATCGTTAATCAAACCAAAAATGATTGAAAACTTCTCATCTCCCACTAGTTGAAGCCTCAAAACTTTTGTATTTAGAACATGGCGAAGAATGTTTAGAAGGGAACAATACAGTGAATAAGATATTCCAAGAATGTTAACAAACTATTTCTCTTTCTATCACTTGTTTTAGACGATGAGACATAGAACTGTCAAATAGATTAATTATTATCATTCCATGTTCTAAGTTTGTTTGTATTTTTTCTACACATCCATATGCAGAATTTTTATTTCTGTTCTCTCTCTTTCTCTATTTATATGTACAGATATATATTTATATGTATCTATTCTATATGCTTTTCTTCTTTAGCTCGACTTACTGTACTTCTAGATTAACTGAAAATTTTTAAAAATTATATATTTCTAATATTGTTTTACCCAATCTGACAAATACTTAGAAAATTTGATTAAACAAATATTCTGCCGTCGAATTTTACTTAACGCTAAACAATACATGTAATGAAAATTTGAATTATTGTATTTTAACAAAACGAAATGGAAGCTAAATGGTTGATATTCCTTTCACTATGTGGCACAGTGGTATGTCTGCGGATTTACAACGCTAGAAACCAGTTTCGATGCTCGTGGTGAGAAGAGAACAGATAGCCCATGGTGTAGCTTTTGCTTAAACTACAAACAAACCTTGCAGTATTCTTGTAGTTTTCTCAAAAGTAAATCAATGTGGTATTAAGATATTATATATTTGATAGCGAATGTAAATTTACTTGATTCAATGCATTATTGAATGATATAATATTAAAACAAAGCGTCCTCTTTTTGCAAGTGTTAGATAATAAAAATATTTGTAGAGGAGATAAATATTATTATTGATTATTATACACACCATTTTGCTTATAACTAATCTATTGGTCATCTATTATACAAAAACCTCAAAGATTGTTAACTACATAGCTAATACAAAACTAATAATTAGCTAATATTTAGTTTGAGTAAATTCGGCGTTCACTTTGCATCATGAATAAAGTATTATTTACAAAGTATTTTCATTATGTCACTATCATATATCAAAACATGAAAATACTCTAATGTGTATAAACCGTTGGAAAACGCTAAGTAATTTTAAGCTGAACTAAAATCTGTTCAGAATTACCCACTCCCTATATATATTACTAATAATTTTAATAACCATGAAATTTCTATTGAATTTAATTTCGGGTTATTAGTTCTCTATTTTATAATTATATTACTTTTAACTAAATATTGTTCTTCTACAAATAAACGGGATGAATTACATAAATTGATTTGGCTCTGAAATAAAGTAGACTAAAGTGAGGTAATATATTTCCTAGGATAAAACGGCCACCCCCTCTATGTCATCTGTTATGACGTGCTTCCATCTAGAGTTAATATATGTAACTATTTTTTATGCGACGCCATGAATATATAAACTGGTGGACGGGCGCGAATGTGAATAATCAAAGTGAGACTCAATTTTTTCTGTTTTTTAACAAAAGTAAGCACTTTGCATTGTTTTTGGCTACAAAATAGATATTTTATGGAATTTCACTGTTCATTTCAAAGAATGAGTGGTTATAGACAATTGAATATGCCCTAAATATACAGTTAAATATCAGTATTTTTTTATTTTTATAATATGAGATTACTTTACAATCAGTAGTTAAGATAATACACTCCCTGAGGGACCTTTTTAAACCACACCTAAGACGTACGTTTCTGTCATAGATTTCAGCCGCAATATACGTCACAGCCCCGCACTAGAACCCACGTTATTATCCTAGCAACAAATTTCAGCCTTTAGCTTCTGCAGACAATGAACTATTGGAGGGAAGGAAACAAGAGTCAGAGAAGGATGTGGATAATAAGGAGATTATAGTTATAGGTGATTCCTTAACAAGACATGTGGATAGGATAGTTTTGGGAGTAAATATGGAGAAAAGAATCAGATGGAGGATATAACTGATATAATGCAGGTGCAGTTTTTGTTGTGCATGGAGGGTCTAAAGATGTAAGGAAAACGTGGTCAGAGGAGCTAATCAACAAGTACAAGGGGTTGATAAAGGCATTTAAAGAAAAGTGTCATAACTAAATTTTGTTAGGGATACTGCCCAGAATCAAATATGGGCATGAAGTTATAAGTAGGTAACTAGGGCTAAATGCTAAGTTTAGGTTAAGTATGTAGGGATGAGCAGATTGGCTGGTTGGACTTGTGGGATCAGTTCAGTGGAAGAAGGGAGCTTTTGGGGAATCAATGGTTTACATTTAAATAAGATAGGGCTGGCTTGTTTGCTCGGCTATTGACTCAGCTGTGAGGAAAGTTTTAAATTAGGA